GCTTACTACCAAGGACTCCACCACCCCCTCCCCCGCTGATGGAGTCCGAGATGCTGCAGTCGCCCCTTTTGGGACTCGGGGAGGAAGATGAGGCCGACCTTACCGACTGGAATCTGCCTTTGGCTTTTATGAAAAAAAGACATTGTGAGAAAATCGAGGGCTCCAAATCCCTAGCTCAGAGCTGGAGGATGAAGGATCGGGTAAGTGGATTCCCACGGCACCCCTTGGACTTGTGTTTTTCCAAGGAAGAAAGTTCAGAGCCAGAGAGTGTCCTTGGAAAAGCGTCATTATTATTGCTGGGCCACATGTTAATCATCTAAAAAGTAAACACCATTTCAGACTCCAGTTTTTGGTTGAAAATGGCAAAAACTGTTTTGGGTAGTCATTATTTACTGGATACTGTTAATTCAAATGAAGTTTTAACTTCCCTCAAAGTTGAGCAAATTCGAAAAATACAGCATTGCAAGTGTTAACATGCTCTTTGATATACTCAGTGCTGTTAACACTTGCAGGAAAGGTACCTTGGGGAATACCTCTTGTATCCATGTGATTAGTCGACTTCTGTGGTTAATCTAGTTTTTTGTTGTTGTTTTTAAATAGGCTGGGTGAAGTGCAGAAGTTTGATGGAGGAAACAAGATAACTGGAAAATGTTCAGCTAGTAACAAATTAGAGCAAAGTTAAAGTTACTGTGAGCTTCATCCTAGTCTTATAAACAGTTTGTCTTAAAGCCAGACTTCCTTTTATGTGGTTTCTTGTTTTGCAATTTGGATACAGAATTTCTTTAATGGAAATTGGGAAGTACTGGGCGTGATGAATTGGAACTTGGCCCAGGTTTTTTTTGGGGGGGGACGTCTCATGGTGTTGGAGCTTGGACAGTGACTCATAAGCAACTGGTAGGAAATAAAAAAACTAATTTTTTGGACTGTCTTTTGTGAACAGTCTGTTTCGTGGTCTCCAAAGCATATATGTACACTTATAATTTGTCTTAGTAGAATTTTTTCTTTTTTCCTAGGCTGCTTTTGTTTGAGTGAGTGGTATAAACGAGGAAATTGGTGTTACAGTATGCGATTTACTCTAGACCATGTATATAATAATAGAAGATTATTGTTTTTTTAGAACATGATGTTGAACACTTATGATAGTGTTAGCCAGTTGGTCACCAGTAACCACTACTTAAATCAGTTGAAACCTTTTTTTTTTAACCTTTATTTTTTAAAGGTTAGGAAAATTTGTATCATCTAAAAGTGGTTTAAGGAATAAAATTAGTCATTGGGAGAAGTTGTATATAATTTGCCTTATGGACATCTTTAGTAGTAATTTAGTGTTGCTGTGGCAGCACATATATACTAAAAAAAGTAATAATTGTAGTTAACCTTTGTAATTGCTGTGCACAGGAAATTTATTTTCAAGCAGCTTCATCTAATTTTTTTTCATTCTATTTGGAGGTTTGTTTTTTTTTTTTTTTTTTTTGGTACGGGGAATTGAATCCAGAGCTATATCCCCAGTTCTTTTAAACTTTTTAAAATTTTAAGACAAGGTCTTAAGTCATTAAATTGCCCAGGATGGGTTTGAACTTACAGACTTCTTGCTTTTGCCTCCTAGAGTGCTGAGATTACAGATAGGTGCCATCATGTCCAGTTTAGGTTGTTCTTTTGAAATATTGTGCCTTTTGCTACCTTATACCAATTATCAAATCTTTTCAAAATAGCTTAATGGGGTTTTTGTTGTTTTGACAATTCTGGGCATCAAACCCAGTGAGTGCCTTGGACATGTTAGGCTAGCACTCTTATGGATGAGCTTTATCTCCAGCCCATTGGATATATATTTGGCCTTTTAATGTAAACATTAATTTACAAATGATCAACATTCTCACATAAGCTCTTCTCAGTTTAGCAACAACAACAACAAAATGATGTGAATCTTTGTACTATTCAGATCACCATTTAGAAAAGGGGAGAGGAGGGGCTATGGAGATGGCTCAGCGGTCTAAGCACCTGCCTAGGCAAGCGCAAGGACTGGGGTTTGCTCTCCAGTACCCCATGCCATGCTAGCCCTGCCTCAGCATGCTGAGCTGGCCACCAAGAGCGGGCGTGGTGCTGCACCCATGTAATTCCAGCACCTGGGAAGCTGAAATAGGAAGATCACTATGAGTCTGAGCTAGGTAGTGAGACCCTGTACCAAATACATTTAAAAAAAAAAAGAAGAGGGGGAAAAAGTTTGTTTGCTCTGACTTTTGCAAGTTGTTCAATCAAGAACCTCAGAGCTAACATTTTCACTATATTAAGAACCCGTTTTTTTTTTTTTTTTTTTTCCAGGTAGACCATTAGGGGACCTTTTCAATGTTCCCTACTAAGATAGATGTTAGTTGCAGATTCAAATGATGAAGAATTGGATAGTAGCATGAACAAATGTAACAGGGCATACTTAAGAGTGATAGCACAGATTAAAAGGCAAGTGGCAATAGATATATGACTCAGATTTTCTGAATGGGACAATGAGAATTTGGACTATACATGTCACAGCTGAGGAGGTAGTTGGGTCTTGGTCTTTAACCCTCCTTTTAAAAAAAATTATGTATTTGATACAGGGTCTCACTGTGCAACTTGGTCTCGGTGTCCTCTGTTTGTTTGCCTTAGCAGGTGCTTAGTCCACTGAACTATCTTGCTGGCCTGGTCTTTGTTTGCTTCTTTGAGAAACAGAAAACCTTTAAAAAAAAATTTTTTTTTTTAAACCATGAAGTCCTTTACTGGGAATTGAACTCAGGACCTTGCGCTTATGAGGCAGGTGCTGTGCTGCTGAGCTATATCCCCAGCCTCAAAGTCTTCCAGTTTTAAAGTCTTGGTACTAGTTCAGATACTATAAAATACAAAGCAGTCCAACAGTGCAAGCAGAACAAACTCCATTTGTGAGAGAGTGTCAGGCCAGCAGGTTATCCTTTTGGTCTGCTGTTGCAGTGATAGGCAGTCACTCTAGGTTGTCCTGGCCAACCTACCCCATTATGCTGGGTGTAGGAACCTGACATAGCAACATTTTGTAAAGCAGCACCTATGGACCTGGCTGTGCTCTATGAGGAGCCAAACTTACCAGATCCTAAGGGTCACTTCTTACCCTGTGTGCAAGCTCAGTTCTTGTTTCTCCCAGTGTTAATTTCATATACTTTTTCTTTGTTTGTGTCTGAAGTGACTTCCATTTATTTTGATACATCTTTTCCTTATGATGATTTACAGGATCTTCAAGCCAATATAAATACTTCATAAATATTTGAATTTTTGGGTATACACCTGCACAATACCTTAGCAATATCTTTCAGCAAGAAAATACTAAAGAGTAAAGGCTAGACACAATTACTGGGTATAGTGAAAATCTGCTGCAAATATTTCTGAGGTAAGAAGGTACCGTATACCTGTTCAACTAAGAAAACCACCCTTACAACACAGGATGATTTTATTTTTACATAGGACCTAGAACACTTAAGCTGCCAATTAGGTACTGAATGGCAGAGCAACATCCCCAGTTTATGCCATAAATTCATAGGGAATGAGTTCCAACAACTTGGGTTCCTTTCCATTGGTCCTCACAAAGTGCTTCTCTGGGAGGGGCAGGCTGATGTTTCAGCTGAACCCAGGTACCTTTCTCTTTGGCTTCCTTCTTTTTCTGATCATTTTCCTTGACATGTTTCAGGAAGCCTTCATGACTTTTTGAGTGTTTAATATGCTTGATATGCACATTAATTCTCTTGGCAAGTATCTTGCCCTTAACTGGCTTGTTTACAACAATGCCAACAGCATGCTGGATAACATTGTAGACTCTTCCCGTTTTGCCATGGTAACATTTGTGAGGCATTCCTTTTTGCATAGTACCCATTCCCTTGATGTCTACAATATCACCCTTTTTGTAGATTCGCATGTATGTAGCCAAAGGAACAACCCCATGTTTTCTAAAAGGCCTGGAAAACATATACCGGGTTCCCCTCTTCTTGCCCTTTGTGTTAGTCATTTTGGCAAATTACTGGAAGATGGCAGTTCTGGCCAAAAGGCTCCATATACTTTTATATGTATTAATAGTTCCTTTCCTTGTCGGTATTTTATTTAGTGGCCTTGTTATAGATTCCTGAAACTGGTATCTTCACCAAAGTTGACTTGTAATTCCAGGTTTTTCTGTCTCAGTGTTAGCCATCCTTTTGGTTATAGTACTTGCCCACTCTCAGTTGGGATTTATTCAGCATTTGTGTTGAATCAGTTCTGGTTTTCAAATTGTGCATACAATTAGCACATTTTAATTACCTTTCAGTAACTATTAGCTTAATCTTGTTATTGTCAAATGAATTTGTTGTCTGGTTAATTCTTTATATGTGAATGATGCATACATGTATCAATAGTACTTTTAGCTTATAATTTTCAAATAATTAGATATATATGAATTATAATTAAAAATGAATCATTCATGGACCTATCCATAAACACATATGGATGTATCTCCCATTTGTGTTTTACTATGATACTCTACAGTTATTACAGAGTTCTTTTCCTGTTGGAAAGTGAGCAGGTAGAGGTAATGATTTCAGTTGGATCTCTTGCCTGGAATATGTGGGATGGAGTCAGGTAATTACTTGAAAGCCATTGCTCTGAAAGAAACCATTAACAGATATGCTAGGTGTACATGCATATAAGTACATCAGTAAACATACTCCATACATGAATGTTGAGGGCCATTCTCAAACGTGTTGTACGTACACATTTAGCATCTTGGAAGACATGAGCTGTCTATGTGTGTGTAGGAGATGTAACTGTAAAATGAGGAGGCCTTGGGCTGTAGATATATCTCAGTGGCATAAGCACCTGCCTGGAAGTGCAGGGTCCTGTGTTCAATTCCTGGTACTGTAAGAAAAAAAAAAGTTTCCTAAATCAATCTCTAAGTTCAGTTGCATTGCTTTGTAGATATGTTTATTTGAATAAGCTGGGGAGAAAGAAGATAGACGTATTAAACTAAGATGTGGACAGTAAAATGTTCAAGGTGTCTTTTGAACCAGGATAACTAGTAATATTTATAGTTTTATAGTACACCCTTTGGGAGAAAGCTTGGTGGCTGGTGTGGGTGGAAGAAGTCTGATCTCTCCACTTTAAGATCATGCTGTGGGACTATAGCGTGGGACTCACTCACGGGTACCTCTGACTGCCAGGTCTGAGTTGTAGATTTTAT